GTAGGTTGTTGTTGATGATGTCTGGTCAACAGACATTGACTATCTTGTGTAGACAACTGTTTACAAATACCTATGTCTTGTTGATGATGGTTGTGGTAGTTTCTCAAGATAGAACCTGGTATACATGTGCATCAGTTTAAGTTGTCACTTTATATAAGCACAATTTGATGAAGTTTTCAGGAAAATTTCTTAGAGTATTAGGAGTGTTAACAGTATCAGCGGTAATATGAAACCACACATAAGCGATATGATTCGAAAAGATAGAATGAATTCTCGGAATACAAAAATATAAGATAATTTAAAACTCGACATATAAGGTTTATCTACGCCATTGTGATTAATTTTGAGTAGTCTCATCTAACCTTTTCAAAGATTGGTTATGATAATTGCTCTAGCTCGAACCAGGTTGTTTTTGCACCTTACAACATGACTCAGTTCTACTGTCAAAAAGCCTCAGGGATTGATATCACGTCTTTGTTTGATCTCCCCCTGTCTTCCTTCCAACATACACAAGCTAACATCACATTTCCAGGTAATGTATTTACTTGATAAACATAACCATTTCGGTAAATAAACAAGTAAAATGGTATTTACTCATTCATTCATCCATTCACTTCGTTTGATATTTTCTTACCACTAAGATCATTCTCATTTTCACCTAATCACTCACTTTCTTTGTGGCGAATATTTGAATCAACATTTAGAATCACAAATAGGATGTTTAATCATGTTAGTAATTTCGGTTGAATGATTATTAGTTAGTTAGATTAAATAATTATATTCTATAATCTAAAGTATAGTAATTACTTAGTGTGTAGAGCATATTTTGAAACATAGAAATTCTTATTTTAGGACAAGATCTTGTATAAAAACTATGCCCATTAATTTATTATTATTATTTTATTAGCCTGGCATGCATTTTATTATTATTATTATTATTATTATTATTATTATTCACTCTTACTAGGATTGTTCGTGTTCCAACTTTATTACGGTGAATATATATTGAATGTGAAGTAAATACTCTTAAACTTGAGTTTAGTACGATTTTATTACATTTTATTCTGTAATAATTTCAATTAATCCCATTGGGATTGTGAACAAAATTCAAAGGGTATTAAAATCAGTTTATACTTTCTAAAATATTCCACTAACTAGTACTTTCAATCTCAACCAGATTATAATAGCTAATAATAATATTACTTTATACGAACTCACCTGCCTTAAAAACTAGTTTCTAAGCAATATAAATTTCAATACTTGAGATCATGAGTCAGTTGAAACTAGACCACCATGGAAAACCTGGAAGCATTGGACAGCCGTTTCGTCCTAGTATGGGACTCCTCAGCAGTGCGCATCCACGGTCCCGCCCCCCGCAAGGTTCGAACCCAGGATCTATCATTCTCACGCGTGAGCTCTTGACCATTAGACCATTGATCCGGCATACAACGGTGTTAAGGTCTAAATTCAACTAATCCATCGTCACCATTGTCTTCAGTGAGTTACTATCTCACAACAGACTTGGTTGAACTCCACTGGTCACTGCTTCTCATTAGAACTCCAGGAGTGTCTCTTGAAGTCAGTCAGTGGTGGGCAGATGATTATTATCAGAAGGGGGTTTCAACTATTTAAATTACAAAAATCTCCACAAAACCGCTTCTGGCAATATAAATTGTTAGATTTAAGATCACTTTAGAATTATCCAATATACGGATTTATTTTCTTATAAACTACTAGTTTACCATAAAGATCCTCAAAGTTATTTAATCACATACTTATTTGAAAATAAATAATAAATTATTCGAATATTTCCCTTCTGTTTCTTATTTAAAATAAAGACAAAAGAAAGCATCGACAAAGTATACTTTCTATTGTCAATAGTGTTATTGTCGTACTACACGTTTACGTCACCAATATTATCTCTCTTTCGATGATAATTATTAATATACACTTGTCTTCTCATCAGATATTTTATTAACCTGGTAGTTCTATATATATGTACACGCATATTTGCTTAAATTACTGGACACTTGTATTGTTTTAATGTATAGTTGTTTAATGTTAAATATTTGTTTGTTTAATTGTTATCACATTTATCCATGTACTTGTACATATAGATACACTTATAATAAGTAATGCCGACATTTTGAGAGAAAAAAATCAAAATAATCGCTTGTTATCAATTAGTTTTACAATGAAACTATGTAAAATGATTTTTAGTTGACCGAAACATAATTCAGTGTTTTGATGACTATAAATTTGTTATATTAGTCTAGTCAAAGACCATCTGTCTTCAAAGTTGACTTGTATAGAAGAATATCATGTGATAGATAAAATGGCAATTTTTCTCCTATAAGTTAAAAGTTTAAAAGAAAAACTAAATGAAGATAATCTTTTTTTTAAAAATATTTATCTAAATTTATGCTTAAAGATATTGTAGATTAAATAACATCAAGACCTGAACATTTTTGATGGAGTTTTGTTCTCTGAGCTGGATAGTTTGGTCGTGGAGTTTTTACCGTTCTTTTGAACGACATCATTAACACAAACTTCAGATAAAAGTGAACTGTTCGAATTTCTCCATATGCGTTTCACAGCTTGTTCTGTACACGTCGACGTTGACCCGAACATTATAACATTTTATTATTAATGCATAGTCAACATACAATTATACTAGTATCAATACAAATACACTGATCATGAATCTACTTATTAAATAGATAACTAGGTATTTAAAATGTTAACAAAATTCAGTATTTACTGAACATCTTTAGCAAAATATCAACGTATTTTGCACCTACTAAATGTAAGATGATTCTTTAAAATTGATTTGAGTCAAAACGACATAATGGCCAGCTGTGTGAACTAGTTTGTTGAGCCTTAAGAGTGATCGATCGTTTAGTGACAAAATCTCTGCACAAACTCAAAAGATTTGTTTAGTATTTAGCAACCTACGTCATCTATAACACTATAAAGATATCTTGTTTCCTGTTAAAGTATGCAATGATTATTATTAGTGGAAGATATAGACAGGTAGCAGGTATTATAGAACCACAAAGCGGGCAACACTAAAGTTAGACAAAAGAATATTAAATCCGCAGTTGAAATAGCAAACGTTTTTCAACCAAAGCGAATAGATGTATTACAAATTTCAGATCAATGTTTAACTAACACTTTGGGTTCTTTCTGAAGTAATATTAAGTTGGGAGAAAGCAGTCCAAATGCGATGAAATTAGTTGAGAAAGTCATTGCCTATAGATCTGGATTTTGTGAATAAGTGTAAATCTGATTTGGGAGTTTGTGACAGCCTGGGCCAACCGATTACATCATTGAAAGGCCAAATGTCAAGGACATGTTATTAGCCAAGGTTTGGCTTGAATTGCTGAGTAAACATATATTTATTTATGAGTTAGTTTGTTTTGGGTTAGCTAATTAGAGCTTACTACTCACCATTGGTTCTCACATTCAAATATCAGATTGAACTTAGATATAAATGTATCAGAACTTGGACAATTACTCGATATAACAATTTGTGTGGAAAATAACCCCAGTAATCGAAGACCCCATGAGATATAATTGAAAATTGATCACAATATTGTACGAGCATTCCCTTTATACTCTTTAATAATTAATCAATTATTCCTTCTTTTCAGTTTAATTTCCCATAGTTTTATGAATGTTTTTCATTACTTACTTAAGTATCCGATTTGATGTTTCATTCTCCGTTCGTGATTAGCGTCTCTCATTGTGTTTAGTTTCGTTTCCAAATGGAACTATTGATCATGTCAAGTTAAATAATTTTAAATATTCAAACTTATTCATCTCGTTGTTTGTCATAAGAATCAATAGGAAATGGATAAATTGTATAATAATAAGAATACTATGTATACATATATAATCTGAGAACAATAATTACAGAATTAATGCCAATTTATCGACATGATCAGCTTGATATTGATAGTAATATTAAATGTAGAGAACAGATGTGATAAGCAAACTTATCACCAGTTGAGTAATTTTTCTGGTTAGCGTTTTTTAGCGAGTTAGTTTTCTACGGGATGGGGTCGCTAACCCCATGCCCAACCCTCCTCCTTTATCCGGGCTTGGGACCGGCAGTAGCCCCCGGAGGGACTCCAAGCGGAGTTTTATCACCAGTAGATCGGTTAATTGATTGATCTAAAATTGAATTGTTAATTGTGTTAATTTTACCTCTTAAAAACCAAGCTAGAAAATATTCTGATGTGTATGTGCTGAAAGTTAGGGTTAGCTACAGACTGTATACTTTGGTTTACAAGAGCACATGAACTGATGAATACACATATAGTCCGCTAAACGTAGAAGTCTGAATTCCATGCAATATAATATATAGAGAGTCCACTATTAATTGTAGCTATCACTTCGATTTTAACTCCATAAAATTTTATCTCAGTTTCTCTAAATTGACAGGTACTTTGATGTCTTTTTTTTATAGCATTAATTATAGGCTCATTTAGATTTATTAATTATCATATCTATTATTGTTAATAAACTAATGTCACTCAACTATAAATTCACTATTCAGCTTTGTAATAAAAATATTTTGATTATTTGTCTGTTAAGATTTACAAATTCTGATCTATTATCGTCCTCCTATATTTTATATACATTATTACGTGATGATAAGGATTATAAACATATGAGCTGATGAATTGGGTGTGGAGTTCCCTATATAGTTACTAATGAACAGCATATAAAATACTAATAAACGTATTCATTTAATTTCTACCTATTCACAAAATGTTATATGTCTAGCTTCAGGGTGGTGTTATTTCATTTTTTTTGTTGTCAGCCAACTTAAACATTCATTTCAACCATCTCTTCATATTTGTACGATCTACTTCAGTGTAGTTGTGTATATGAATTACTTAGCTTATGGATGGAATATTTTATCCAATTATTTTTTTAAACTGAGTTTTTCTTTTCGAATTAATTCTTCACCATTTTCTTTATTTATTCTGTAGATATGACACTAATGATGAATATATTGAAGTATCTCACAAACATCACTGTGAAGACAAAATTAACGAAGACATAAAAAATTATGAAAATACTTTAAATAACCAATTTAATGCTTTATTGGTTTCTAATACTACCACTAATACAACTGTTACAAATAATAATTCTGTCAATAATTTAACACTGTCGAATTCACCGAAGTTAATACAACAAACAAAATCTAATGAAGCATTTAATAATTTACAGAATCAATACAATCCTGTAGATGCAAAAACTCACTTGATAATTGAGCATAATGATAATGATGACGAGAATAATGATGAAACTATTGAAGAAAAGCGTAATTCACGTCAAAATCGTGTGAAATTTGCATCAGAAGCTGAATTTTTCTCACCTTCATATTGTAGTGAACAAGCAACTTCAATAAGCAGTTTCACTGATTTATCTCATCTATCTAACTTTTCTACTATTACTACTACTACTACTGCTACCACAACAATAACAACAACAACTGCCAATATTAGTCCTAGTATAACTGATCCTACTGAGTTTGATCTATACAATTCACCTGAAACAATGACTACAATTTTAAATAAGTCATCTTTACAAACTTCCAATTTAAACAATGACTTCGATAATATTAATAATTCTAAGGAATTTTTAGATTTAGAAACGAAGGGGAATAAAAATAAAGAACAAGAAACATTATATAATAGATGATAATTTATTTTGATTAGAAACATTATTATTATAGTAGACAAAAAGTATGATCAATGCCAAGTTATTTATTTAATTAATTGGATTTTTCAAGGTTATTATTACTTGAGACCAATATTTACATTGAAAAATATATGGATATTTTAAAATGTTGTCTTAAATCTAAACAAGTATACAGGCATATTCATTAAAAGTTATTAACTAATTATCATCATCATCATCATATATTCATTTTGTCAAAATAGGTTCACATCATTGAATCATTGAGTACAAGTGACAAACTAGTAGTAATGAATATACCTTTTAGTTGAATAATCATCATCAATGGCAGGTGCACATGGGCTCCAATATCCTTAAGGAACAAATAGCGTATGAACCAATCATTGGTTACCGGCTCTCATGGGACTGCATCTCCTTACGATGCTTCACTGCCTTGTGGATCAGACCTTCAGGTCGAAGGCTCTGGGTGTGGCTTCCTAAGAAAACCACCTGCTTCGGTTTGGGCACCCGGGCAGTATCATAGCCCTCACACATATCAAGTGAGATCTATGTGGCGCATATGTATTTGGTGCCTCCTTGTACCAATATCTATGTGTTCAAATAAATAAATAATAAACATTATTGGCAACTATTTTTATCATCAATATTGTTAACAATGTTTTAAATAAATAATTATTTGATAAACAAAAACTAATACTAGTATTAATTCTTGGAGTTCTAGTGCGAAGCCGTGACCAGTAGAGCTAATCCGTGTCGGATAGAGACAGGTGTCTACCACAGTACAATGGAAGATGGTCGCGCAATTTCGTGGATTGGTTGATGTTAAACACTAACACCATTGAATGCCTGCTCAGTGGCCCAGTAGGTTAAGCGTTCGCGAGCGGGATCGTGGATGCGCATTGCTGAGGAGTCCCATAATAGGACGAAACTGTCGTCCAGTGCTTCCAGGTTTCCAACGGTAGTCTAACATCAATCGGTTCGTGATCTCAATGGAAAACTAAACTCAAAAAGCTTATTTCAATTTCATTCTGTCTTTAATTTTTATTAAATGTTGGGGTGATACTATTATTTGTAAACAAATTAACCAGATTTAGGATAACAGGTCTTGACGTTTAGCAGGAAATTCACTTATGCATTTAGCTGAATAGTGTTTTGGCATTATAGATTATGTCAGCTTGTGATGAAAATCTTAAATCTAATTCCTAGCCTTAACCATCAATTGTAAATCATAATTGTAATTCCTCACATTGGTTTATAACCATCATTTAGTTCTAGTTAGTAGATGGACATTCTCAAGGTTGATTTAGCGTCGCTCAAAGATCGTCCATAAATTATATATATATATATATATATATATATATATATATATATATATATATATATATATATATATATATCCAAATACTGAATAAAGCTTTTAATTATTCATCTAAATGAAGTGTTATTTTCTTTTAAGTAAAGCAGTGCCAACTGACCACAATAGTCAAAGAATACGTCTACACTTGCTTGTATGTACATACATGTACGGAATAAACACAACCAAATTGTTAATGTAAATGATTTTGAATAGTTGACCGGTGAAAATAATAACATGCTTGTTAGTATTATCCATTTATTTCAGTTGAGTGAATCTGTTTGGAAGTAAATTAATTTAGCAAATAAATTCGGAACACTTCAGATAAACAAACAATAAAATACATAAGAGATTTAATATTATTTCGTTTAATGGATGTTAAACACGAAATTTGCAAAAGGTTAGCTTTCACTATAGTACATAGTATTTCAAGGAAGCTTTCAAGTTATGTGGCTATTTATATTGAATAATTACTGAGTAATAAACAATACCATGCTTAGCTATTTTGTATTGATAATGGAATTAAGTCGATTAAGTTGTAGTGTGACAACTAATTTTAATGACTCGACTTGTGGACACTATGGCTTGATGTTAATTAATTAGAGGGCAGTTGTCAGGATTCACTGAACCTAGGTTTTGTGCTGGTTGACCGTTTCTAGTAAGAGATACTAACCAACTTGATGACCAACTGACAATCTGTCAGAGTGGAATACTGAATTATTATGGTTAGAATTCCACAGATAGTACCATTTCCTCTGAATAACACAACAACCACATTCAAGGTTTTCTACCGATTGTCGTCAAATCAACTAACATCAAAATACTATATATCCGTATTCTAATTACTATAAGCACAACAGTGATTAAAATCTTCCAACCAAGTTTCTATCTTTCATAACTTCCATCCATTGCTAGATTGCAATAGAAAAAAAGTATCTTTCCCCCCCCCCACACATACAACAAACCACATTCATGTAAATATGTTTCCTAACAATTAACATCTTTACTTTTATTCTCACGATTGTCAGAATTAATTTGATTTTATAAATTGACATTGTTCTCACACTATTTCTATATCTGATAAATGATTAATTCTTTCTCTGTTTTTCTTTAAAAAAAAATTTAAATGACAACACTTGTCTTGATTTTATACACATTCACAATGTCATAGAACAATCTACTAATGATCATATACAAACAATTACATTAATTTCAATCACTGTCAATTATCAATACAGTAAATTCATATTACCAAGTTAAATCATTTTGTTCTCCTTCTCCTTTTCTATTATTCATAATATGTCGTTCGTTTTAATTATTTTCTAATTGTAACTGTGAAACGTGATTTAGAAATTACTACAAATAAATATACACTTGTTTAAATTCTTGCAATGAATAACTGGTTTAAATGTTGTACAGTTTTAATAATACCATTATTAATTATTTCTAATTGGGACATATTTATGAGACGGTAATATGAATGAGAATGATAATAAGTTATATATTGAAAGAGAAAATGTTAATCAAAATGTGGATTCGTTGAAGTTAGATCTTAACATTATTGTATGCCGGCTTAATGGTCTAGAAGTTAAGTGTTCGCGTGCGAAATCGAAGGTTCTGGATTTGAATCCCTCGAGCGGGGTCGTGGATGCGCACTGTTGAGGAGTTCCATACTAGGACGAAACGGCCGTCTATTGCTTTCAGATTTTCAATGGTAGTCTAGCTTTAATTGACTCATGAACTCAAATATTAAATAATCGAAATGTGTGTAACAGAGATGCGAATAAATTTATGCATTGATAGAATTGTGGAAAACTGTTGCTCATCCAAATATCTCACGTTTTACGAAATATTAAGTACTTACTTATTCCAATAATGGTTGTGGTAACAGGTTAAATCAATAGAGAATAAACTAATCTTATATTTATTCTAATTTTACTGTTATGTATATTATTTTATTATTGGTTTAATGAGTAATTAAAAATTTTGTGCTAAGCAGACGTCTGAACAGTTTTGGATGCTTCTGTTAAAGTAGTTTTCCAACTAACAGGTATAATATATAAATGCCAACATGGAGTATGTGTGCCAATCAGCAGTCGCTTGACCCAAACTAATCGAATGGCCATAATTCATTGGTTATTTTCATAGTATACTGTGAACGGAATTGTTAGCCAGATAGTTTGAACCTGACGTAACCAAGCATTGTAATATTTCATTCAAATAAAATAATCCATAGAATTCAACTTCCAAGGTTTACTATTATATTGATACTACAGATTAGATAAGTGAATATTTTTGGGAAATAGGTAATCTATTTCATCACTGGAAAAGTTAACAGAATCATCTAAACGAAATCTAACTACATTTACTGAATTATCTCTGAGAATACAATAATGATCAATTTAAATAAGCCAAAATGTAAAATTGAGCAGTTTTTTATTGGTAAATAAATACTGATATGTGCGGTTTATATCAGATTTGTGCATGGACTAATTCAAAATATCAACGACAAATGCCAGTTATTGACCTGTAAAGTTTCAGTTTCATTGTTCTGAATCTTATTTATTAGTTGGTCACTTGGAATATGAAAACTGTTGAGATTTAATCGGTCCATGAATCATACCGTTTACGCTTAATCTTTTCTACTACGACTAATATTACTACTACTCATACTATATTGGTGTTAATCTTGATAATTTCACTTAATTGTACTGATGTGGTGTGCCAACTTGAGACTGTGCATAAGTGCCACTTTGTACGTTTCTTATGAACGACTGATGGTTATAACTTAAAATTGATGATAATGGTTATCCTCATGTAGTTGCGTATTGTATTTTTTTTACAAAACGTTAAAACAAAATCTATCGTAGGTGTGCTCATATTTGAAATGTGCCTCATTCAATACTTGCTATCCTTTTTTTAATTACTGATTTGTTGATTAACAGATTTTCCCTCATTTATTCGCTTACGACACTTCCATTTTGTTTGTATTTGTGTAACTACAATGTAATGACGAAAATGACTGATTCCTAAATCTAGGTTGTAATTTAAAAATTACATTTCAGCCGGTGAACAAGGAGGTTGTAAAATTAAAAGTACTTTTAATATGAGTAATGAAATCTTTAACTTTATCTTTGTTTCAGAGAGTTTATTACCTTTTAAAGGTTTACGACTAATTTTCGAAACTTAATATTATGAAGACGTCGTTACATAATCTCATTTATTTGAGTGCAAATATATTCACACCAAAAGTTTGTTTGTGAAATGTTTTCATAAACAGTTTCATAGAAAGTTTACCATCATCTATTAAATCTTTATTAACGTATGAGCTGATACGTTAAGGATCCTGTCTATAATTCAATGAACTAATAAAATGTTTTGTTTCAGTTTGTCATGAACAAAATCAAATTGGAACACATCTAACCTTATCACTAAAATGGCTGAGACTTATCTAATCATTTAAACATCCTGAACACTATACAAAGGTGTTTCTAATACACTTATGTTTAAATAAGATTATAGTTATTCATTAAAGGCTCAAAAACAGTTTTCTAGATTATGATCGGTTATTTTCTATCCTATAGCTCCACCCCCCTCATTTCATTGTGACCTATAACATTAAAATTATTTCAGTATTATAAACAAACAAACTAATTCACTTGGTATTGTTTGGCTTTTATCTTCCCATTGAGGTTTAAGACTGGAATTGATCAGTCTGTTATTGGCATATGTCCATACTGTGCGTATGCCTCGATATTACCTTAATTCACAAGCTATTTGTGAGCAATGATGGATAGTGGCTAGCAGTGGAATCCAGGACGCGCGTTTCGTCCTATTTGGGACTCGTCAGCTGGATGCACCTGCATCTCAGAGAGTTGATGTTCACTCTGGGACCCGACTTAAGGTAATACCGAAGCATACGAACAGTATGCACATATGCCAATAACAGACTGATCAATTGCAGTCTTAAACCTCAATGGGAAGATACAAGCCAAACAATACCATGTGAATTCAAATTCACCCCATTGCACAAGCAATTGGCTATCAGGACTCAGTAGCTGAGTGGAT